GTTCATGAAGTTAATGCAAATGAAGTTTGCTTTCTTAAACTTATTGATTACAATCTTTTCATAACTGAAGATGTTTTCAAACGTTGGAGCAGTCTTCTTTTAACCCATATCCAAGCTATTTCAGGCCCTGAAATATCGAGTCCAGATGCGTTCAGGAGAGCCGAAAATCAAAAGGCTGTTGCTGTATTCTGTGAAACTTTGAAATCAATGGATTCAACGACATTTGAATGTAAAAAAAGGATTAAAAAATCAAATTTAGAAATAAGTCCAATTACTCCTGCAGCGAGTATACCTGGATCACCAATTTCTATATTACCTAACTCATTAATCGAAAAAATGGAGAATACATCTATAAATGTCCATGAATCAGAATTGAAAATGAATTATTGTATTCATTGCAAGCAACCCGTTTCGATTCCACATCTTTGCAATTTATTTGAGCATTCTAGTCAACCTTCAACCCAAATTTCTGGTATTGACAGTTTTTTAGATAAACAACGCGTATTATCATTACCTGTTTCTACGTTTGGTAATACCCGGTTTTTGGCAAATGATTGCAATGAGACAAAATTCGAAAATGGTCAAAATAATCGGATAGAAAGGATTCTAGTACGGGCTTCCGCGTAGGAGTATTATATTATGCACGTCAAGGTATTTATTTCAACATTTAAATAGTGATTATAATTTGGCTTTATTTTATATTAATTCGTTCCTTTTTAACAAAATATTTAGTGTTTTGAATTATCGATTGTTATGCAATTGGTTACTATGAATTCTTTTTTATTTTCTTAACATTTTGTTTAATATGATGTGCACATTTCGTTAGGACCCCGAATCATAGATGTAGAGGTTACATTCAACTTAATATAAATTTTTACAAATTTTAACCATCTTATTTTAAGCTTTATTTTACATATATGCTTTTTAATGTTAATTACCTTCCGTTAAATTTTGAACTTAACCTTTTTTTCTTTATTTCACCACCCCCACTTTTTTATTTAGTTATCCAAATTTTAACTATACCATTCTAAAATTTGAATATTTTATCCACCATTAGTAAGCAATTATCCGCCTTCAATCATGACATTTTCACATATAATATTTTTTGTAAAAAGGTATT